TTTAAAAGTATTTTAATTAGAAAATTGTAATTATGTTCACCTTGAAATTAGTAGGCATATTATGAAAAATTACTATTAGATCAATTTTTGTCAAATATTGCCTATCATTTGCCCCTTAATAAATAGCGTTTTCCGTTCTCTTTAAGTGCGCTGATAAGCTTTATTCTTTATTTTTAATTTGTTTATCTATGATATAGTTTCTGACATTTCATTATAACGAATTACCCTTCGTGTTACATAAACTTTATAGTATATTTTGTGAAATATATGCAAGTTAGTCAGACAACTAAGAATTTCATTTTTGATAATTACTTTGCTTTCGGTTATTGTAGAGTAGACTATTAAAGCATTAAAGAGCGCAATGTTTGCTCAATTTCATTTAAAGTTTTAAACGTTTCCTTATAATTTATAGACCATTTAGTTGCTCATTGTGCCCTTAAAAACGCTTACAAATAAAAAATAAAATACTCGTTGAAAATCGCTAAACAGGTGCAACTTGCTAGTCTTCATACTTTATTTTTAACTTGTATACTTTTTATTTTAAAAGTATACAAGTTTTGTATTTTATAGATTTACTGAGCACTGTATATTCTGAAATTAACACAATAAAGTAGTAAAAGTAGTTTTTTCATGACTGATGCAAGTTATTTTTTAATCTGTTTTTACATAGATTTTCACAAATGATAACCATAAAAGTTTGTTAGAACTTTTTTTTAAAATCAACATTCTAGCTATAAAACGATTACAAATCAAGTACTCTTTTTTTTTCTTTGAGTAAAGGTTTTTAATAATTTGTCATGTAATAACTCACTCAAGTTATTTTGAAAAAATTAATAAATGTATTTTTCTTTGTGAATTATACCTGAAGAAAAGCACAAACTCAAAATCACTCTACAAAATGAAAATGCAACTACATAACGGTTCAGCTTTACAATTAGTAGTATTACCTATTGATTTTTTAAAATTTCTAATTTTTTACTGTTAAAGTGGTTTATGTTTCATTATTCGAGTTTTAAATTGCTCTACTATAATTAGTTCTGAAAATAAAGTAGTCAATATGTTTTATTAGGGTGAAGAAATGGATGTCAAAAAACTAGCTTAACGAACATAATGTTTTTATCAAATGAAAATGTTTTTGACAATTTCCCTCGAACGAATCATGCATTACATTGTCAGGTGGGGAAGACAAAATCTCAATACTACGAATGCCATTTCTCATCTTGTATCACTTTTTGTTTTCATTTTGCTTTCAATAACGACACCTTTTTATTTTTCATTAGACTCATCATTTATTGTATACTCAACTAGTACATACACGGGTTTGATATTGAACGTTGTCCTTTTATCCAATTTATTTTCCACGATGTATGCTTTATATATACCATACCGCATCATAGTAAACACTGATAATTTGAGTAATTGCTGAATCGATTGTATACCGTAATATAATTTAGCATTATACCTTATGGCGCAAATTACATTCTAATAAAAGCTGAATAATTCAAAATTTGCTGCGTTTCACATCCATATTTTCGCGAACCACGTTCCATCAATTAATTAATTAGGCAGCAATGTTAGCTGTTAGATTAATGTTATTATAATAAAATATTATATACATATACAACATCGATCGTCTATATGATATTTGCTAGTGAAGACTGTTTACCGCTTGTAACAATATAATATTACCAGAATTATTGTGAACTTTTTAAATTTAGTGGTACTATACAGGGCGTCGTCGAAATAGACTTCCAGCCAACGACACCATTAATTAATACCACTGTGTGTATTAAACGTCAAAACTATGCTGGTTACTATTTTATCGCGCGTCTGGTTCTCATAGATAGCCGGATCAATTTGTATAAAATATATTCGTGTGATATTTTTAACTATAAAAATTTGTAATTAATATTACCTCTACGATTTTATACTTATATGTTGTAGCACACGTTGTTTTAAACGTATGCCGCTGGTTAATAATGAATTGGATAGCGGTGAATTGATTGCAAACAATATTGGTCAATGAGCTGCATTTTGACTGCTAATATAAATAAATAACCAATAGGCATACCTATTATCATCCTTTTATCGTGTGGGATAAAACAGTAACAATTTATCGCAAGAAATGTATAAAGTTTTGTAAATTTTGAACATTCATAATTTTGAATACTTCCAATACCATACAGTTAGTCGGTTTCTTTACTTTAAGTGGTTGTTCAATACCTAGATTTAAAAAAAAAAAACATTAAACGGATTTTAGTCTTTATCTCGGAGTCAAGCATATCTTGGGACCTTTTAGAACCAACAAAATTGTAAGTAACCAACAACTGTAATAATATTTTGTATATTTTATAAAATTAAATTACTAAAATTGGGTTTTTTGGTGATAACCCTAATTTTTGTATTCCCATTACCACTGCAAAGTAGCACTGACCTTTTTAGCCCAGTGCGTGTACTCATTTTCAATATTTAAAAAATGGATCAATTGGCTGAGTTGTATATATGTTTTTTTTTCATCAAGTCACGGTCAATAGACCTGATTCGGTGGTAAACGATTTTATATATATATATATATATATATATATATATATATATATATATATATATAAATAGCAGACAGCAGTGGCAGTGTACCGTTTGTTAATCGCACACAAAGGAATCTGGTGACGAAACTCGTCGCTTATATTATGCCCAGGAATCCAGACTAGGTTTAATCGACCGTCGAAAATCTACATTAAAGTGGATTCCACAGAGCCATTTTACATCATCACAGGGTCTTTTGCATTCGTTATTAAATTTATCACAGCGCATTAGCCCTTCTGCCTTTTGCGATCGAACCTGCTGACTGCTGGCGTCAGTGAATTATGAATCATTATCGCCTCCACCCGTGTAGCACACCTTTCCACTGTAATATTCTACTGCTCACTCTCGTATTCACTTTTCCTCTAATAATTTAATCGTACATAATTTTACCAATAATTGCGTCAGAACAACTGCAAAATATTTAATACATTCTATCCGCCATTCAATTGTGTCTATAATACATGTTGTATGCACCCATGTACACATAGGGCATGACACTTTTTTTTTAAGCCATACACAGTTGTCCGAGAAAAACAGGACTTTGTTTTTGTTTACATCGATGAACAATATTGTGCTCTTAAATTCGATCGTTTCACAGTGAATTTATTTGATGTAATTCAGCTCGTGATGCATCGAGACACTTACTAACATGAGGATTAGGACATTATGTTGGGATGCACGATAAATGTTGTTTCGAGAAAAAACGTGATTTCTACAACGTATCTGCTAAAAAAAAGGGCGGGACTTTATTTTTTTTTTATTTTACAATTTATGAGCGATAGTTGCATCGGGTGTTTTTGACGCATCTATGTTAATCCGGTATGAGTAGTTGAATTCGTTTTTTATTATATTTTGAAATATTGCATTTTATGTTTTCCGTTATTTTTTTTATTTATTTACTAAGTGAAAAATCAGTGTACTGATTTATCCATCAGCTTGTGACACTGAAAAACAAAGTAGTATTGTTGATTGTTTATTGTATTTGATTTGTGATCAATTTTAATGTTATTTATATCGGTAGAAGAACTGGAACTTTTTTAAAAACTGTTTCTTGTAACAAACAACCATTATTATTATTTCCTTTTTTTTTTTTTGAAGTTCAATTAAATTGAAATGTACCATTGTGTCCGTCCATACATGAAACAGAATACGGATTTAACATGACCCGTCTATTAACATGGCGTTTTTCCTGACATGGGTACTATTTTTTTTACCCATCTAACTATCAATTAATTGTTTTACACTAAAGTTAACGAGCGAGTGATACAACGAATAACCGTCTTCACGAACTCAAATGGGAAAATGGAACCGGGAAAGTGTACCACTTTATATATTTTTTTAGTAAATCCAATAAAGTTAAATAAATATTTTTAATAATATAATAATAATTTCAATAATCTCACGATGGCAGCGTTGGGCCTTCATGGCCTGTTAAGCTACATTATGATATGATGGTAATAATAATTAAACTTGTTTATGTGTTTGTATTGTCTTACCAAATAATTTACCATAGGAAAAGGATAACCTTAAACATTACTTTATATCGATGAGATATTTAGTTTATTTTAAATGATAAAAGAAAAAGATACTATTTATTAAACTTCTACTTTCAATTAGAAATCGGTCTACGAGATTCGGTTAAAAACATTTGTTTACTTTATAGAACAAATGCCATGTTTATAAAATGAATACGAGTTTGCCCTCGTTTTACAATTCCGTCATTGGTTTTTGAATTAATAATTATTATTAATTTAATGGGACCACTATAGTTTAGTTAAATATTTTACTCTCATTAAGATATTACGGCCTGAATATTCAGTACGAAAAAATCTGTTTTATTTTAAAAGAGACAAATTCAATTTATATTAATTTCTTTATAACTTAGTAATCGAAATCACTCTAGTTTTTTGCATACCTGGCTTCGGAAGAAGATTGGCAATGTGTTATAATTTATATGGATAAAGCCATACAGGTAATAATTATAATGTCACTAAAAATTATTATATAGCACCTACAGTCTATTATAATGTCCATACAGGCAGAGATTTCTTTTTCTTTTTTTCGTACCCATATCAGTATGTTTGAACTAAACTAACATTATGCATACCACAGTAACAATAATTTTATCAATACTACAAGACGTATTGCGTGTTTTAAATGAATTCATATTTTATAAAAGTATCGCTTATTTCTCAAACAAACAAACGGATTGTTAAGTATAACATATTATTTTTTGTCAGCACCAGCTAATACCTAATAATTCGATAACAATAATATACCCATGTCATTACTTTATTTTAGTTCAATGATGCCGTTCGCTTTAGTTGTGAGATTTGGTGATAAATTGAAATAAAATACAAGTGTAACTGAGCTAACGGTGTATATATAATATAATAATAATATAAAAATGTCTTTACCTTCGCTCACGTACACGTTGACAGTGTCGGACTCGGTGTTAGGCGCCGAGCACGTATAGTTGCCCAGTGCTGACGGAGACGCTCCTCTGATGAACAATCTACTCTGCACGGTGTTGTCTGGCTGTAAGATTTCGGTTTTGACCTCACGGTAATCGTTTTTGTTGTTGGACGAATTATCGATTGGCCGGCCATTGTGGATCCACACCACGTTACTGGTCAACAACGAACCCTGTAAAATTGTTCTGTCATCAGCAAACACTACTGGAACGTCATTAATACAAAACCCCCAACATTTTTCACCTTGCTGACTCTATTAGAAAAAATAAAATTGAATTAAACTACCTTGTGAGTAAAACTATATATTTTATGGATTTCACGATAAAAGAAGTTCTGAGTAAACGATTCGATGGAATTTGAACTACATTTTTTTGGCATTATAAAACTCAATATACTTTACGTACGCAATATAATATTCAGAATATTTAACAAGTAGCGAATGATCGATCCTGATTAAAGGACTCATTCAAAATCGCAAACGTATAATAACGGAAAATGTAAAAAGGACATAATAGAACTACTCGAAGAGAAAAAAACAAGAGAATATTTTAAAACATAGTATCATAATTATTAGTTTACATATAAAACCCCGTAATGATGTTAAATTTCATTAACAGCGCGTGTTATAACCGAAGTGTAATATTTTTCTTGTTTAATGGATGCATAAAAAAACCTTATAACAGAATAGAAATAACGTCCAATAACCGGTGATAATATAATAACCGCAATAATAGTAGTTGTCAAACTATCGACTAATTTTTTTATCCTACTAAGTTTTTATTCCATTATAAAAACTTCAGAATTTAATTATTATCGGTGTAAATTTGTAAAACTACGTTTGGGTCAGATTGGAGGCAAATTTCTTTGAATAAATTATTCGAAATACAATTATATTAATTATAACAAAAATAAAAACAATAGTAAACTATAATTGATGTATTTGAAGTATCAAAACAAAATATTTTAGACGAAAATTCGTTTAACACAATTTATTTTTTTACTAATTTAAATTAACTGTTAAACAATATCATACATTGACCAATTTTTAGCTGTCTTAATTTATCTCGAGGCATATCGGGTGATTCTTTTGACGCCCCAATACTAATTTAAACTTATAATAATTGCAATTTTTGTAGTTTTTCTTTTTAAAATGTTTTTTTTTAATTTATATTACACTAATACAATATTTAAGTTTGTATCTTTTTTAGTATTTTCTAGAGCTTTATCATTTTTTGAAACTTATAAATACTAAAATTTTATATTATATTTAATTGAATTTTAAATTAACAATGATGACTGAAAAGTTTGACTGGTCGATGACCCATTTTGAATAATTATTTATAAAGATCTTAAGTTTAAAATGTAGGACGAGAGGTAGAGTGCGGGTTGAGTAATGTGCGCAGATAAAAATAACTCTGCACAGAACCCTTCTAAATTTGTAGGTATAAAATTATTCTTAATTTAAAAATGTATTAAATGTATACGGTGCCATTTATGTTTAGTTGTTGATCTATTTAAATACCAAAAAAAGGAAAAAATTGAATATTATCTAACATTGTAATATAGCGTGAACAAAATTATTTCCTAAAAGAAATATTATAAAATTGCAATAATTTTCAAGGGAAAATTGGTGTTGTCAATTGAAAGAATCACCCGCTTTAATAATATGATACTATTTTTTATCAAAGAACGACTCTTTACCTTATTCTTTATAACTGCATTATACCAGTGAGCTAGTATAAACTATTTTGAAAACATTTTTATTGGAATATAATTGCGTTATGATAAAAAAAATAACAGAAAAAACAGGTTTCATAAAATTTAAAACAATAAAAAGTGTATTTTTTTTGTAAACAACGAACGGTGCAAGCCAAATAGTGCATAATATAAAAAATACCAGGAATGTAGAAATTAAAAAAAGAAAGACTGCTGTATAAATATTGGTTGGCAAATAAACCTTTCTCGAATATATTATTGATATTACGTTAAGAATAAAAAAGTTTCCAAAACAAATATTGTTGTTGCCCAATACGCGAAAATGTTCAGTCAGTTAAATGCCACTTTTTTATGAACAGAACTTTGCCACAATCTCATAAAACGAGTTTTACTGCAGTTCCTTTTACAACGGTGTAGTTTCTCCGAACAGTTTATAGTAAATTATGCCTTTACTGTGTAGAAACCAATTTTAAAAGTCCATCAATGCTAGTATTATTAAAAGTATTAACTATTTAAACTATAAAAAAGAGATATAATTTATTCGTAAACATAAGTAATTGTTAGCTGAAAAAAAGTAATAAAAAATTGTATACCTTAATTTTCAACTAAAATTGACATTATTTATACATTTTTTTGGTATAGGTACTCATGAAGTCTATAATAGTTATTCGAATTTAAAATTTTTTTATTTGTTTTAGCTTCGATGTGGAAATTGTTTACAAAAGTTTCTTTATAAGGCCAAAAATAAAAACAATTTACCCCTTCCCCATCTAAGACAAGGATACACCCAAACAATTTACTTATTTTTCAATATCAAATTACACACATTTTTCTTTTAAAAAAGGGTGGAAACTTTTTTTATTATTTCTTTTTTTAGCCGTAGTTTTTAGACTCTAAATATAAGATTAAAAGTTGTTCTGGTTTAGTTCCATAACATGCTCGTACACAACTTTTTGTTGGTTTTTTTAATAATAACCATCAAATCAAATCTGTCAGTTAACTAGCCTAAATCTTAGGTAGATTATTCGGAAAGCTTATAAAATTCGCGGTGAAAAAAAATTAATCAGGGAAACTTTTTTTGAAGCCAAAGTCCACTAGGGTACGAATTGGTATCATTATACATAGATAGAAACTAAAATACTTTAATATTTGTTAATAAAAAATCGTGTATTATATTATATTGTACTAAGTACACATAAATGTAAAATGATAAAAAAAATTAGAATTAAAAGCTGTATTCATAGTATGTGAATTTCATACCATACGGTAGAGAGCCTCAATAGCCAACGCTTTATTTTCGCCTTCATAAGTTAGTCCATAAAAGTTGTAAGAAATAATCTTGTTTTATTTTATTAATAAAGATAACCAATGTTATCTTGATAATGTTGAAATTCGATAGTGTATATGATAAGACATTAACCGATTTGATGATATATTGTAGTAGGAGTAACATATAAACTTACACGATAATAAAAATAAATATATAAAAGAGAAACATACATGGGGTTATAGTCTGTGCATAAAAACAATATTGAACAATCCATAAACTGTTCTTAAGGCCCATTAAACATAGAATAATTAAAACAAACGTAGTTGTCACAGTAGCCAATTAAAAATTTTTTGTTTTCAAAGATTAACAGGCTATATTATATTTTGGTTACATTCTCGGTCATTCATTGGTTGACTTACAATTTTATGAAATAGACTTGCACGCCTACTATATTCAGTAATTTTCATAAAAGAAATATAAATTTTCCAACCTTACCTAACCTAATTTATACGAATTGGTTGGAATAAAACGCATTGTATGCCAGTAGCTGTTTACAGAATTGCATCGTTTTTGTTTTACGATATTACTGCTTAGTATTCAATAATTAATTATTTCTCTTTCATTCCATGATATACAGTTTTTCCTACGCACCAATGGTAAAAGCTCACTACAGTTTCAAACGAATTCCTGTTCATTCTAAACATCACAATTTGCATGATATATAAGTTGTAACAAGTATGTTACCTCTTTCCACCTTATCCAACTATATTTTATGCCACTTCCTTAGATTCCGCCGCTTTTCTTCAAAACTGATGCCAAATATCCACAAATATTTCTCAACTCTATATTAAGGTCTCCAAGCATAACAGGCCCTATGTGCCCTTTCTTTAATAACTTGTTCAATTTTTATTTTGTTACTAAATAATATCATATTTGTTCTAATAAACGCACTTTAATATTTAAAAGAAATTTTATAATGCATTTTACCCGATAAAATTAATTAAAAATTTTTAAGGTAAAATTTGGATATTATAACACCCACACGCGGTAAACGGTTCGTATGCTTGCCTTGTTTTGATAGCTTGTTTTCTTTAAATAATGGTAAAATCACTGAATACGGATTACTTTGCAAACATGGCAAACCCATTTCTCCACCACTCAGGATGTCGTCTATAATCGGAGTATAATTTCTTTTGCTATCCTCTTGTATCGACAGCTTTGCAACGAAAAAGTCCATTATAATTTTCGCTGACTATCTTACGCTGTCATTTTGATTTTCGTCACATTACAGTGTAATGATGACAGTTTTGTTAATAATTTTTTGACGTTTAACGGTTGTGAAACACACAAACGATAAATTAAAATCGTAAATAAACACATTATACATTTTAGAATTAAAATTCGGTTGAAAAGTCTATGTAAGATGTCAGAAAATAATTCAAATATTATGATTAAGCGCCTCCTTTTTTTTATTTTGATAATTTTTTTATCAATTATCAATCATAAATAATTTTATATAAATGTGTAGAGTATATTATGCAAAGTAAAAGGGCGACAAAGAAAATTAGGTGTTCCAGAGAGGGTTCGATTTTTATTTAACTAATTCATAGTGTATTCATTGCAAAATAATTAAAATCTGACTCATAATAATCAAAGTATATTGAAAACTTAATGTCTATTAGTATAATTTGGTTTTGTTTTAATTAGGTAAATAACTTACCTAATGTATCAAATATCGGATTAAAAACTGATTTTTTTTACTAATTTTTATAGAATTATACTATTTTTAGTACCACTCAATTTTCAAATTATAAATATTTATACATCATACTATGAAATTGTTTATATTGTTTTTATAATAAAAATTAAAACATTTTAATATATCTGTGGCTTGGAGCAAGAAGGGCCAATGTCAATTTTGTGCATAAACGAGTTAGTCCGCTAATTGCAAAAATTGAATAACTCTTTATATACTGTGAAAAAATCACACTCTGAGGCCAAAAAATGAATTACTCATGAATAGTTTGATAAAAAGAATTAACATAGAGCCTAATGGAAAATAAAAACTTCAAAGCTCATTTTCCGAAAGTTGCAAAAAGTGACATTGGCCCTTCTTGCTCCAAGCCACAGATATAGTTATTGGTGTTTGTAGTTTTCAAAATATTATATGTGAGTATGGTATACTGACAATGTTCGCAATAACTAGTAAGTAATTATTAATACAATATATGTATATATATATAGTAGGTAAACAGGCAACAGCTAGTAAATAATGAAATTTAAACAATAGAACAAAATATTTTTTTAAAACTCCTTTATTGCAAAACAGATAGTTCTAAATGTTAGCAATATTTACACTAGGTTGGCGGTTGCACAAAAAAATGTAATGGTTTATTAAAAATAAATGGACCGAACATGAGCCACTAAAGCACAATTCACATTCGCGGTCTCGGTTCGGTCCGATCACGGTCAGGTCAGGTCAGGTCTCGATCGGTCGACGGGCGATCACGAGCTTTTTGATCGAGACTGCCTAGTGTGAATCAATCAACGCGCTAGTCTTGGTCGGTGTCATCAATTTTTCACAATGGACTGTCTAGATTTGATTGTTTGTGAATAATACGTCATAATCCTTGACCGTGACCAAACCGAGACCGCGAATGTCTGCTTTAATTATGTTTAACGAACCGTTAAACATCTATTGATTCACTAGTCCACATAAACAACTGCTTTACCTTTCATAATGTTACGTGTGATTTGTAAAATTCAATAAAAGTGATTACAGTAGTTTCCATCGAATACTATGTCTATATAATTTACAATATTTGTTTTTGCAAATGAAATAACTATATGGTTTTGTACCATGATATTCTAAAAATCTTATACATACATTTATATTCTCAAAACACGCATTGATTGAAAACGAATTTATAAAACGGTTACATCAGTTTATTCAGTTCTTATCTGAGCGATATCTGAAACTACCTTATTTATTTAACAACAGCTGTGATATAACGTTTGGCGACATACTGTTTGGTGTGTTGGAGTTTTGTGTACGGAATTTGCGTGGGAATAATGCGAATTTTCTGAATAATAAAATTAAATAAAACTGTTATTTCATAAAATTATTTTAAAATGAAAAACGTAATCCTAATTCCCACACCTCAGGAACGAATCAGAAAATCGAAATACTACTTTTAAAGTTTACGTGCGAGTAATACTTTTGAACTTTCTTGTATGTGTTAAACAAAAAAACAACGTGAAGATATAGACACACATTGTTTTATGTAAATATTAAGTTCATTTCTTGAATTCGCTTTATTTTAAAATAAACTCTACCCAACAAGTAACAGTTGGCATAAGATACCATAAAATGTGTTACAACAATTTATGTATTATGTACTATTATTTTATCATGTTTCCTACATAAATAAAATTTAAAAATTAAATTATTTAGTTTATAAAGTGATTTTTAAGCATTTTTTTAATTTTACATTTCACATTTGCGTATTTTGTAAGTTTTTCATAATAATTTTCAACAACCAAGATAGGTAGGTATGTAATAAAACTTCAATGATACGTAAGCTATAAATCTGGCAACCACTCCTGCGCAAGAAAAATAAAATACATTTTTGTTAACTAATAATTTATATTTATACGTGATCCAATTGTAGAATTCATACCATAAATTTCTACTTTTAATGTGGTAATATGATTGCACAATAGAAAACTATTGATATCGTATTGCTATAACTATTATGGTTCACAACAATTTAGCTTTGTAATTATAAAGACAATAATATCGCATACATTAATATGATATTAATAACGCCAATTAATTTAACAAATATTTGTTCCATGTCATGAATAAACTAATAATTATTAACTACTAAAATACAAACTGATAAGGCTTTTTTTTAATATTCTTATTAAAAAGCTTATTTTTTTAAAAATAAATAGTAGTTTGATGCATCCAATAATAAGTATACGAAATATAACGATTTATCACTAGGGAGAATAGAGACTGCAATGATTTATAGCAAAAATTAAAAACGATCCCTTATTTTATAGGTATTAGGTATTATAATAAGTTATTGAAACGTGAACTAACATAAATATTTTGAAAGCATAACAATGAGACATTCGATAGGAAATCATATAATAAATAGACAATTCACTGTCAAGAAGAATAACGTTATACTTGACTTTTGAGATATTTATAATTTATCTGTAGAACAAATGTAAAGTTCAGGAAAAATGCCACATTAATCAATCAAATAAAACGAATATTGAAAACGGTTTACACTTAATAAATCAAAAAAATTCAATTTCATTACATAATATTGCAATACAATTACAGTTCTTCTCGAATAGGTTAGAGTACACGGAAACATGAGTTAACCGCTTATTTAAAACTATTATGAAATACATTTACTTTTTTTAAATTAAATTTATCAAGTAAAAATTCATAGAATTCATAGCAAAGATCATGTATAAGATATTGAAATTTTTCTATATATTGGTTAACAATAAAACAAAATCCACACAGCTGAACAAAGATAAATTCAAGTAGATACAATGTCTGTCACCGAGCAACACTTTATATTGTCATCGTTCATGCTGAACAACTGATAGATTCGGTGAATTCAGTACTAGCAATGTCGAGCGAGAGCTCATTTCTATGTGTCATTTTTTTTTTTTTTTACATACCATTTATGTGGGCAAGTTCTTCCGTTAAATTCAATTTATATGGGGTTAACAGCTAACCGAACGGGTGCAAAGTTGTGCATGCGCTGGGATTACACACGCGCTGGTTTTGATCAGTTCATCGTTATGAGCCTTTAATGGTCTGACAAAAATGTGTCTATAAAGTTTAAGTATGAATTTAACGCTAACCCAAAAAAAAGAAGTCGTTGGCCCAAATCTGGGATCCGTTTATGTTAGTTTAGAAACTTTTATAGATTCTCGTCAACTGTTGAAATACCATTACAGATAATTCTGGGCTAAATATAAAACTGTCATGACTTCTTTACGCGTGTCATCGGGTATGAAAAACGATTTACTTAATTGTTATTGGGTGTAATATATTAAAATATATGAAACCGCTAAACTGAGTATTACCACAATAATTCGAAACCGATTATTATGAATTTATTAATGGGGTTCTATACATTATTCTCTCCCTATTTGTTTTTTAATGTACCTAAATGTTATGATTTTGACATGTATGAAAAGTTCAATCATTTTCAAATAGTATTTATGGAACTCAATTAATTTTACTGTTATTCGGCTAATTTATACCATGCTGAGAAAACAAAATATTATGATTGATGCAATTGATTTAAGATAAACGACACATGCAATAGTTTTTATGAGGGTTTATTCTGTTGCCAACGCATTTGGAAATATATTGATAAAGAATTTAATATGAATAGCTCTCTGCACGACCGATTTAATAATACCTTCATCAAAACTTTTACACAAACGTTTACAAAATATGACATTTATTTAAAAAACCACTTACGGCTAAGAATTGTTTTTTTTTTTAATTTTTTATTTGAAGAATATGTACAATATAAAGGAAATCGTAGCACTAATAAGCAATCAAATCAATATTTTTTCGATAACAGCGCATATTTTATGATTATTATCTCTATTGTTAGTTTTTTTACCCTTAACAGCACAAAATTAAATCGCATTACTAGTCATATCAATATTGACACACCCTCAATGTATTTAGTGATTTTTTTATTTGAACGAATTGAGGAGTGGCTATAATATTATAAAAAAAACATAATTTGAATTCAAATTGATTTTTATGATAGTTTAACTATAAATAAAATATTCGCCATAATTTTAATTAATTAATTTTTTATTTAATTAAAATAATTACTATACAACTATTGTTAATTTGAGAGCAGTATCTATATAAATAAAAATGAAATGCTGTACGTGGGAAAAGTGAACACGCCATTACTTAAGAACGGCTAGACCGATTTGGCTCATTTTTTTTTTAATTTTCATCATAGTCCAAATTAGATTTTAGCGGAAAGAAAAATTGGAAAATTTAAAATGTTAGTGAATGTTTCTTCCAATAAATGGCGCTACGTGCGCAAATATCACAGCTGGCAGTTAATCAGCTGACTTATGAACAGTTTGACAGCTGATCATATTTATTCATAGTTCTGGCCAAAAAAGACATAGTTTACTATATAGTTGCCCATTTTAGTGATTAATGAATAACATTTTTCTTCGGATAATTTTAAATAGAACGAAAAAATTAAAACACATTTTAAAATAAATTTTACCCACTTAGAATAAAAAAAACTTTGAGATGAATACAAGTATTTATAATAACTGGATTGAAATTTGTATATAATATTATATTTATATATATTTTTTGTTTTATGGGGAAATTGATTTGTTTATTTTTTTTCATTTCAATCTGTCATAACAAAATAGAAAAACTTGAGAGATCAGAATGTGCCCTTACAATACTAACATTTAATTGTTGTTCAATAGGACTACTACTGTGTGAAAATAACGATTGCTGTAGATATTATTTTACCAGGTAGTTCTGAAGCGTTCGTTAAAAAATACAATTTGATTGGTCTAATATAACCGTTTCATCGTAAAAGTTGAACAGTTTTTATACTGTTAAGAACTGATTTAAAATCTAAAGTTTAATATTTATTGTACAACTCATGCGACTAAAAGAAAATAATGACAATATAGAAAGTGATTATAAGGCAAAACTAGCTTGTATACTTTAAAATTTACCTTCTTTTAATTATTAAAATTATTAACAGAATAGAACAGAGCGAGGTAAAAAATAAAACGATTATATAATGTCACATTATATAATCTTATATCACCTAAGTAGTGATATAAGGAGTAACGAAAACTCTATCTACTGTTTTCTTAATTTAAACTATTAAACAAATATATCATTTAAAATACTTACATTTTTTATAACACAAATAAGATTTATTGTGCTTCCTTTACCCACGTGGTACTCTTCTCTTCCCAATATTCGAGCAGTTGGTACAATTACTTCTAGATTAAAATAATGTGAGGCGATGCCTGTTCCCAACGCCACCTAATATCAAAATACCCATAAATTAAACTTTAAATGTTACATTTTAAAGTGTTTAACTATAGCTGTGTTGGGAGAAAATAAAATAAAATTCATCTCAAAGATAAAATAACAAATTTACTATGCGTACGTCTCCCTATGATATATTCCATATTTTAATATTTTAATGATTTTATGTTGAAGTTCTTGCTATTTAGATAATAATATCTTTGATAGATATTTTTATCATAATTTCGATTAACAAGTATGATAGTTAATCAAAATTATACATAAAAGCAAACTTATGTTTTAAAGTGTGTAATTTGTATTGTGTAATTTTTATATCTATGTGTAATTTTTAAGCAGTCTAAATCTAAATAAACTAGTTTAACGTTAATGGTCAAAATTATTCAAAAATCATTTTAAAAGAATAATAGATCCAATATAATTTTTAAGCATAATTTATAATGTGTTGCATTAACAGTAATATTGTTATAAAGTCTTATGTTATTGTTCAATTATTGTTATGGGTAACATATGGTTGTGTGTAATATTTGTATTTATAAATTACAACGGTGCTGTTCTAAACCTAAGTTAGCGGCAAGGTCATAAAGTTTCCCGTTTACACTTCTCGAACTTAAGTGAATTTTATCAAAACAATGATTTACAATATTAAAGTAACACGTGTGCTTATCTTTAAATTGTTAGTTATATAAATCCGTAACATTAACGCGCTTGAATCGTTTTTAGGAAAGCCAACAGAGACAAAATATGATTAAGAGTGGACAGTAAATGTAAACGATTATCTAATACAATTCATCATTTTGTTTCAATTTTTGTTACCTACATTAACAATTGATGTTTTTTTTTAAACAAAGTACGAGAACGCAGGATTTATTAGCATTTGTTTCGAATGGTTTGCAAATGTTTACGAGTGTACAATTAATGTACTTTTACTTATTATTTTTTTTATTATTGAACATAATAATACAAAATAACGAGTCGGTTTTCCTTATCTAAAATATGTCTATCACATTGATTGGTTTTCGATTTGTTTTGTATTGTACTTGATGATACGAAATCGTTTTTTAATTTATTGCGCAATGGCTCTTGTAATATACAAATAAATTAAAATTTTGACGCTACAGAATAAATATTAAATATTCGATTTTAACGTAATTATACCTGACATTCGTATGACCCAGCGTCCCTTTTTTGTACATATTTAATTTGCAGGTCCCAATTATCTGCGTTGTCTGCATGTAGCACATGAAATCGATCGTCATTTGTGTACATAAAAACGTTGGAACTCAGTATGTGCCAATCTCGTCGACGGACCCAAGATACCTATAAGGTAATAAATAAAATACAACACATTAAAAGTAAAATAGCGTCTGAGATCTCTCGAGTAATAATATAAATAATATATTATGTTTGATAAGATCTCAGAAAATCAAATCAAATCTGGGTAAATATATTAAATTGGAAAGTATTTTCAAGGCATAATAAAATAATGTATTTTATTATTAAATAATAGAAGTTAAAAAATAAAATTTAACTTTTCATTTAATATAATAGCACATTCAACTCAACGTTTGATCTTTGTAATAAGAACTTGCGCATCGTAATTTGAAACTCGATTCCAAACATTTTTTGATAGCATCAGTTATACTTATTGCTGTTTTATATGACACATTATAATGCACAGGTACAACATTGATGTTTTATTAAACTACTACTCTGCATTTGTCAAAAAAGAAAGTTTCAAAAAATGATAGTGTTAATTATTAAAACAGCGATAAAGAAATTAAAATTTACAACCTGAAAATTGTATAATGTACAACGATGATGTGATTAGTTTTTTAATTTAAGATTAATTTCCAAGTATTAAAAACTACATCTGTGAACTGTAATTTTATTTCAGTATCTCGCCTTCCAGTGGATTGGAATTTTGACATTTTTCATTAAACCCGTTTTGATTTAGTAACTAAAAGGAATTTAGGTTAGGTCAAAGTTAGTAATTCGTAACAAATTCAAAATATATGATTGATATAAATAAAATAACACAATTAATATAATTTCAATATATTTATGTACCTACACATAGTATTAAAGTACATAGAATTATAATGTACAATGGATACACTTCTGGAGGAGGTAATGATAATAAATAAAATTCTTCTAAAAATTGAAAAAATCCGGTTAAGTGATTATTTTTTTCTTAAAAATTAAAAAAGAAAATTTGCAAGTCTGAGTCAGGAAGACAAGATTACGAAACAGGAGAAGATAACATGGTCAATAATTGGTAGTATAGATCATCCTAATTGTGTTGTTATATTCCTTTTCCGTTGTAAACGTCCATTAATTTGAAATTGATTAAGAATTCTGCGTAACTTGGTGACTACAAGGTATTTTAAAAATCTAGTAGGGTCAAATTAAATAAATATTTTATTGCGTCGACAATGGGATATATTTGATGTTCCAGGGTTGAATGTTTTCCCGAAGAGTATACACATTGAAGTGATTTATTTATTGACAGAAAATGTACCATGTACAAGAACGTTTTTCAAAATGTGTACCGCAAGATGTACAGTATAAGCTGAAATACATTTTAATACGTTGAAGTATTTGTTTGAAGAGTAATTTATTACTCACTAGGATTGCTGTACGTAATGTTATTTACTTTATGTTAAATACTTATTAACTAGGAACCATCGAGTTTTCATTGGCCTTGCCACCGAATAAATGATAATAATAGTATTTAACTTTTATTGAATATTAAAGTACATTGTTGTTATTATTTTGTTTAAAATCTTGTTGTTATTTATAATACATATAACAATTTACAAATAAACAATTCCTTTCGAACTTTTTAATAAATGTATAAACATATTACCATGTAATATGCTAATATGTATAATATGCTTTAAAAAATTTTTTTTTTAATTATGAAAAATACCTGTTGTACCTAATAATTGCTGTTTTTTTAGCGTAAGCGAGAATTATTCGACTAACAATTTGTAGTGTGTTGTGCGTATATAAATGTATAACAAAGTGCATGTTTAATAAAAACACGTGAATAATTATATTTTATTACATTCCCTTTAATTGCTAAAAAGCATCCAACAGTAATACCGTTCATTTATAGCAAATTAGTCGATTGATTTATACTAACACATATTTGCCTAATGGTAATAGAAAGAATAAAGTACACACACATAGGTAACTAATACTTGTATTCCTAATTTTATTTAAAATTTGTATAAAACAGTTGAAAACGAATGCATGATTGTGACCAGGCATATTATACATATGTAATAAATATTACTATTTAAAAAAAATTGGAATACATTATTACAAATTTCAATTTTTGTAAAATACCAAAAGATATCTACACAATAGTTAATATCTTAAAAATATAAAAGCCTATTTACGTTTAGAATAATTCAAGTTCAATTAAGTAAATTGTTCAATGCTAAATGGATTTCACACGATCCCTTAGACCAGACATAGATTCTGGATAAACCACCCAGCAAACATAATATGTACAATACATAATATTATTATAATGACATGTATGTAGATAACAAAAATCACATTTGCTTTTAAATTATATAATACCTAACTAACGAGAAAAAAGTGTACTATATTATGCACATTGCAACATGATGAGTTAAAAAAAAGGCTCATCAAATGCTAAACGTGATATAAATGTTAAAATACAAATTTTAATATAAAAAACAGATGAAAGTATTTTTTTTATTAAACAATACACATTTTTATTTTACTCTCGCGTTTAATTAAACAATTACACACAGTTAACTTTTTATTATATTACGCCAGTACTTTTCCTCGTGCATTTTTATTTAATATATAGTAATATTTTTGTCAAGCATTTTTACAAGATTAAACGCCAATACAGTATATCGCAGAAGCGACCGCTAGGGTTTTGTTGACCAGACCTTAAAAAAATATTTTAAGTAATTTATATTAATATATCTACCCTATTTTTAATTAATATTTTATGATTGCATAATATATGTCATATAAACTTATCGCAATATTTATTATCCTATAGACTATGATTTAAAATTTTGTGGTTATATGAATTCGTTGATTCTTAAATCCAGACATCTTATATGGATGTTAAAAAATAGTATAAAATACAAACACAATAAAACACTTATGGATAACACATTGGAGGGATGGAATGGTACTTAATAACGAATCAACTTAAGTGATCCAACCCAATAAGTCCCAGGTTTCGAATACCCACGTGCCATACGGACTGCGCTTAACTGCATAAGAACCGGACAGGGTAGGTGTAATTATTTAATGCATAAATGGGGAATGGTGGGCTCACCTCTCTGCAACTGTAGTCAGGTCCAAACTATGAGGCATATTGTTGAGGAGTGCCCAGAAACAATGTTTAGCCGAGGAACAGCAGGTTTACATGAGAGGGCGATCAGGAAGCGCTAGATTGGCAACGTAGTCTTACCATCCGCTTTTAGTGCTTAGCTTTTTGATGCTTAACCGCTAATCATCATACTAACTCATAATTGTTATAACTATTATTGTAGTTTATTTATTACACATGCAATCAAATAAAAATGGATGTGCTAAAAATAAATGTATACTGGCAATTCAACTTAAAACTCATATCGATGAATTGCAAGAAAAAATAAAAATTTTAAATCAAAATCTCTTTTGAAACGATTTTAAATTCAGTAAAAAAAAATTGTAAACTCCTTGTATTCTTCACATCGATTATCGTCGAAGTTGAAATGTAATGAGTGCAATTATTTTTAATTGCACTTTTTCAAGATCGTGCTTGAAAGCAGATTTTTCTCATTATTAAGTATAAATTATAAATTACGACGAAATTATTTCACTCTCTTAACAGTTATTTTCATGATGGCATGAACGAGGCATGGAAAAAAAATTAATGGCACTACTTTATATCATTACACAGCCGCACTATAATATACTGTTTATATACCTACTCATTAAAACCTATAATATGAAGACTCTTAAATTGTGTCATATTCCATATTATAAAATCAAATTCAATAATATTTATTCACTTTTTCTGAATTGTATATAAATTGTTCGAAGATTATATTATTAAAAGTTTTACCTTATCTATTATAATTAGTAATAATACACATAGTATTAATTAGTTATAATTAGTATTATACACATAAAAAAAGTGCATTTGCATAAGTGTAGCTTACTAAATTAATTTATGCAAATATTACATGAAATTAACTACTTATTTTCGATGATCAATTACAGAGAATTAAGAGAATAGTGAAAATAAGAGATAGCTCTTCATTTTCATTAACTCTAGAATACTGAATTAGACATAATTTTTTGTCAAAACATAAACCTTATTATAATAGATATTATCTTTGATTTCATAATGCTATTTTTATTTATTTATAGGTTATTATTTTAAATATATAAATCACTTTTTTGATCTTTAAAAACTTTATATATATATTACAATTAAATATATCCTAACGCGATGGAAACGTCAACATTATGTGATGACAAAATATAGTGAAGTCGTGAATAAATTAAAACTGTTTAAAAAATGTAATTTGTTTTTAACGGTATTTGGGTAAAGAGTAAGTACAATGTGTAGGTTTTTTTAATATTAAGGTCGGTCAAGGGTCAACGCGAGTGGTACGCACATTGTATTAGACTGTAAATGTATCGGTATGATGCACGTTGGATAGCATTGTCGTTCGGTAATACAACGCTAAACAATAGCATAATTCAAATATTTGTGCTGAGTACATTGTATTAATATTAGTTTAAATATTTTAAAATGGCGGCAATAATGATTTATTATCAAATAAAGTAAATAGAAACACTAATATTCATTCACGCGTTTCGATCAAACAGGGTTCTTACCTAGCAACCAAGTAAAAAGCAGTAGCTATTAATAATGCCCTGACCGAATGAAAGTTTGGAGTAGTGACAGAATTTTCTTTTATACTTAGGAAACATCTACCTAAATGCAAGTCTCGAGAAGTTCAGCTCTCAAATCTCATAAAAGGAGTGCAATCAACGTCCCTTTTTTATGTCACTTTTTTTAACCTTTTTGCGCAAACGCGCGTTGTCACTAGTCCGTATTTATTTTATTTTTGTATATAATTTCAATGATATATGAGGCTGGGTTATATGTTTAACATGTCTATATGTAAGTATGTATGCTCTTTCTTTAAAGCTACACCGCTGCACCGATTTTGTTCAATTTCGGCACGGGAACTCAGTTTACCCGAGGAACAAATACAGAGGAGTTGTTAATGACAACATTCACCTGCTTCACGTCTACTGTTACATATTATGTAACATGTAACGTCATTATACATGAACAATATAGAGATCAAACTTGAAGTTAGTAGTCGAATTGTTCATCACCAATCGAAGCGGGTAAATAGTTTTGAAACTAAAATCATTTTCCTGTTTTAATTTTATCTAATTACTAAAAAAAAAATGCTCCTTACTTAAAGCTTCTGTATTTATCAGTCAAGATACTATATAAAAATGCATCTACTTCAGCAGTCAGCAATACAGTTGGAAATGTTAAACACAATAATTATTTGAACTTAGATTACAATTAACAGAGGCTATATTGTACTGTTATTTGTTCAATACATTTCTATATGATAACATGGCTTATCATAAAAGAAAAAATACCTGACAAAATAATTAATCCTATAATCTAGTAAAAACAGTCTATAGTCATATGTTCAAAGTAAAATATATTACAGCTGCACTTAAGATGTCGTCATAGAATATGTTTTGTAGAGTTATACTTGTTGTTGAATAAATAGTCAACATCATACGAATCTAACATAACGTTTAAAGAATGATAATAAAGCTATAATAATACATACTATTACTGTTCACAATTATTTTTTGCACTTAAAATGAAAAACAATTTTATTAAATATCAAATTTAACAACAGTTAAAGTATATTTTATAATAATATCCTTTCCACTTTTTTTTTCTTGAGTGATAAAGGTATACAAACAAAATTATTTATATATAGGTCCGAGGTTCCCCCCAGCAGTTTAAAAAGTGGATGGATGTTTAAAAAAAGATGTAAGAATGAAACTAAAGAAATCTTAATAAATTAAGCACCACTATCATATCTTAAAAGAGATAAAACATTGAGTTGAACTGTACTATAACAGTTGTATAACTTATAACTTCTGTATTTTTTATATTATCATACTATATTTTATACTACCGCGAAATTAAAAAAGTAATATTCTGTGTTACAATTTCAATTTGTTTTATTATGAGATTGAAAACGATACTTTCTTAAAGCTCAAACAACTATTTTTTTTTTTTTCAAGATCGACTTCATAAATAAACTTCACTTTTCACCAGCTTCTCCGATTCCACGGTAAAACGACCGATTCAAATTATTGTTTGACTGTTTTATTGGGGTATTATGATTTTTAATTACTTACTGGTCTCTGTTGAAGATTTCGCACAGTGCAATGAAGGAATGCACTTTCACCCAATCTTGCTGTAACATTGGTGATTGGCGGCCCTTCAAACACTGGAGGTGACACGACCTTCAATACTTTAGTAGAATTTTTCCGCTTTGTATTTGAAGGTATTTTAGTTTTTGGCAAGGTTGCTGATGTCGGTTGTAACAACTCTGGGTCCAAAACAGTTTCTAGAAAAATAAAAATAAATGTATACTGTGTACATATTAAATCTATTATAGTTTAAAATGCGTGTTATAATTTGCATCACCTATGCCACACAAAAAATGATAATTTTGATGGATCACTAAAATCTGATGACCCAAGCATTTTAAAGGACCATTAAATGTCTATTGATTCCTTAAATCTTTAATATAAACTCGTGCGCAAGGCACTAATGGTTAAAAATATTTGTATTATAAAATGCCTAAAGTATAAAACGATAGTTATTTATTTATCTTGTACACCATTTTATGCACTATAATTTTGTTGTAATAACATTTTAACCGTAGGACATCTAAAAATATATAACAAAATATTTTATTTTGTTTTAACAACCTCGTTAGTAGAAAAACATGTACACGAACAAATAAAAGAAGGAAATTGCTTATGTATGAAATTTGATGAAATCTCCTGTATGAGAATATACTATGGTTTATTTTTAAAAATCTGAGAGCATATGTATGAAAGTATAACGTTAATCTTTTAAATAAAAAATATATCTAAAATTCATAGTATACCAATAAAAATAAAATGTCTTATGTTATACAACTACCAATAGCCGTCACTAGTTAGCGAAAAATATTCTACCCTTGAAGATTTAGTGAGTACACGGATGCTTGAAAATAAAAGAAAGTTGAAAGACACAGAGAAAATGATTGGGTTTTATCCAGAAGAACAAAAATACGTATTTTAATGAAGTTATAAAAACAGAACTCTATTATTTAGACCTGTTAGTGGAATATAACCTCAGATAATATTATCCCTCGTTAAGGAATGTCTTGTGGAAAATATTTTTAAAAAAACTAGAAAATCGAAGAAAACTTACAAAATTACAACATATTATTTTGAGTCGAATGATGAGTATAAAGCCAGCAATGAAACAAGAAACATCGAACCTAGCACACAACACAGTCCTCAAGACGGAATATGAAAAATTATTATTAATATTATGTAACCGAAAATCCTGTAAATAATTTAAACAACTCAGTACAAACTTTAACCAATTTACAGTCAAATAGTTTTATTCTTCCGCGTTTTGAAGTCTAAAGAGATAAAATAAAATTACTTTTATGAAGACGTTTGAGTTATTCATTATTAAATAACACATTATTACATTTGTAGTAAACATATGGGGCATTATTTGTAATCTTATAAGTTGCCTTTTTTGGCTGTTCAAAAAATTCAATTTTTTTTTTTATTGTTTTGAATATTTACATCTTTACAATTAATATGCACAACAGTAAATTAGTAAAGAGTAAAAAGTGGATAGTATAACATGAAGTAGGTGGCACCCAATGGAGCTACCTACTTTGATTTTTTAATGTTAGTTTATTTATTTATAGGAGGTCTCTGCACCATTTCCTTTTTAATCTTCTTGGCGGATTATTTGAATCTTTCCAAGTAAGGCGTTTGTCAAAAATGAGACCTAAGACGTATTTTACTTGGTTAGATTGTTGGAAAAGAGTGCTGTAAAAGTTTGACTGGTGGACAGTTGTTTCACCGAAGAGAAAAGGTGATGTGGAAATTTAATTTATGTATAAATATTAAATGGCTGAAATTAATCGTTATCATCTTATATAATATTGAAAACGAATTAAATATTATGCTGAATCCCTAGAGAAAAACCAAGCTTGTTGGTTTTATTATTTATTTTTTATTTTTTGTTACTTCCATAAGAAATATTATACGTTTCCCTTAATTTTTAGTACTCATTTTTATTTCACATCACAATTAATGAAAACTATTTCCATAAGCTTTAAATCGTTTCTTATACGTATTAAGCAAATGACTAAAAGTTAACACCCAGCTTAAAACACTTGTGTAATTATTACAAGTGCCCGTTTACCAACTTTTGATAACACATTATTCTTACGACCATAAACGCAGATAATATGACAAATTCTTAACACCGGCAAGATTAGACAATGAACAATCAGAACAAAATGGGCGTATCGGTCAATATAAATTCTTAAATAGGAAACATTAAAAAAAATCAAATTTTGTACGTTAAACCTACAATTTGGAAAATTACGATCTTAAACCTAAAAAACGACAAACAATTCTATTCTGCATTCTATTTTGTTATGTAATATACATTTTCATAAATAATTATCTGCATAGATATAATATAAGTTACTTAATTATTTCATAAATATGCTGATGAAAAATACAGAAATAAAGCTCGTGGATGAAATACACTAGTATTATAATAATTATCGCTTTATATATATATATTAAAAAAAACTTAGATTTTATTATTATTAACTTGTAAAAGTAAAAAACTAAATAAAATATACGGACATTAGGCATAATGAAAATCGTGAGCCCATGATAATCATTTAAATATAAAGAGAACGGTTTTAAATTAAAACGATTTTCGCATAAATATCCATTAATTATCTGCTTATAGACATTCGAAGCCAGTTTGAACCAAAAGTAAAAAAAGTTCACAGGACTACTGTCTACTTTACTTTTTAAAATATAAACTAACTTCAATAAAAACTAAATCATCAAAAGTGATTAAATTCCAAACTAGAGACTTTATATTAAAAATGTCAACTAAATAATTATACCGACTAATCTTATTATTAGTCGCATTATTTATTTTTAATATTACTAGATCCCCTGTGGGTGGGGACCAGAATACACTCACGGCAATCCATGCCCGTCGTAAAAGGTGACCAAAATGGACCTAGCAATGGGCAGCAACATTGTTAGTATCAAATATAGATTTATCTATACTTGAATAACATCCCTTAGTAATAAGAGATGCCATTGCGATGCTGAAGGCAATGGGAAACCACTGCATTAATTTTCCCAAATATCAAGTAATGAAGGTTAAACATCAGAGAACCAGATTTGCAACGACAAGGCAAGGCCTTTAGTAGAGAAGAAGAAGCAGAGAAGATATTACTAGTAGAGTATATGTTGTTGCGGATAATGCTCATTAGCATTTTTCCGATTCGACGGGCTCAACTTTACCTCCGCCTTATCACACGTCCCAGACATGTTCTTAGAAAACGTATTTGTAAAAGTTCATATTATAATAGAATTTAAACCATTTTTTAAAAGTATTTTTCGGTTAGTTAATTTTCATTGTGTCACTTGTTTACATATTTCGTTTTTGTTCATTTTTAAATATTATATACATGTAAAATCCCTAACACAGCACAGTAATACAATATGTATTTACGACTTAACTCCCATTCAAGATCTTTTACAACTCTCCTCCTTATCTGACCGAAGACATGAAGCAAATAAACGTTTCCTTTTAAAAATTATATCTGGAGAGATAGATTCCCCTGTCTTACTCTCAAAGTTAACTTTCCGTATTCACTTTCTGTATCGGCATACTCGATACGCTCCTTTTTTCATTCCTTCCACTTCTACTAACTATTCTCTTCATTCCCCCCTGATTCGTTTAATGCGCATTGCAAATAGTTATCCTGATTTCTTACTATCCTTGTAAATTATGTAAATATGTTGTCATTTAGCCAATCTAATAAATTATTTTTCTATTCAGATATCAATTATGTACTTATTTTTAATCTTTATTTTGTGAAATATTATTGCATGCTATTTATATATATTTTTTGTAAACATAAATAATACTTAAGTTTTTTGTTAAATGTTAATCTGATAAATTTTTGTGTTTTGGGCTAACGCCCGTATTGTAAAATAAAATAAAAAATATGATAGTTGACTACATCAGTTTCAGCTAGCTAGGTATAACAAATGTGATACGTGCATACGGTTATGGACAAAATGGTCTTGATATATTATGGCGATAGCGGCCGGTAAGTCCATTTGACGTTTCGCCGTTACGGTTTATCGGATAAGAAATTTACTGTCGTCGACATTAGGCTGCCGGCCAAAATTAAAATCGATCCTTGTTTTAAATGATCTGCGAAACCACGATTACCGAAACGCTTAGTTCAACGAATACGTCTGTGATTATCCGCTTGAAATCGCAGAACCGGTAAAGACCATTTTACGTCTTATTTCAATCCGCTATAATAAGACCATTTTGCTATAAAGGCCAGTGTCGCTCAATCAGCTTTCAATAACTAACCGGCCGGAAAATTCGGTTTCCAACAATTATCTCGGTAATTATTATAACAATTAATCCAACGATTAATTGAACACTCGTTTATTTTCACTCGTATAAAGGGATGTACGAGAAGTACGCCAGAACTGATTCGGAGCACAATAGAAATAAGATTTAAAATACAAGTTACAAAAAAAAAATAATAATAATAAATAATTATGTAAAATAAGAGAAATACACGTTAAAGGGTACAAGCTGTAAAAGTACAAACCTAACATAATTATAATAATCCGATCCAAGAGATTATGCTTGACATGATATTAAATAGAAATCATTATTTATAATTTTTAAAATAATTCCAGCAATTTATTTCTTCATTACACACAGTGTAATCTCACAAATGGAACGTCAGATAGTAGATACGTTCTGTATGTGAAATACCATAAAATATTATTATAAAAAAAAACATAATAATATCTGACCTTATTTATTATTTCTTGTATTGCCTTTTTTCTTCAATGTCAAAAAAACCAACCAACGACAGGCCGTAGTGCAAAAAAATTGTACGATCATAAAAATTAAAATCTATTACGAAAACGACATCTATTTAGATTTATTTAAACGATTTTAGTTCTGTACGACTATCTTTAATGTGTAATTTACAATTACCTTTAAAGCTAAGTGCATGAAACCCGAATCTTTTTTTTGCTATGGTAATAGTATTGGAAGTATCGATCACTATCGAAACGTTTGTTTCGTTTTGAAATTCTGTTTGGATATCCTTCGATGATCGTTTTGAGATTCGAAACGGTTATGACGTACTCAGGTCTTATAATAGCACTTAAGCAATTCATGATAATCGAAAGTCAATAAAACATCTACTCCGTTGACCATTAAGCCTGAATTTCTTTTAACGAATAA